TGCCAGGAAGGCCTCCAAGGCCATTAGAGAGGGCGGGCGGCGGCGAGGGGCCGGGAGGATACACTTTAGAGATGCCCAGGGGGGTGTCCTTGGTCAGGCTGTGCAGCAGGAACCTGGAGATGTTGAAGAGGGTTTCGGGAAGATGGAAGCTGAACGGCTCCTCCTGCGGGGAGAGCAGGCGAACGTGAACTTGACCCCAGGCGCGCTGGTGAACTTGACCCCAAGTGCGCTGCGGGCCAGGCTAGAGGCAGACGTAGGACTCTGAAGCCCTTCAGTGCGTGAGCATCCTCCTGTGTGCTGGGAGCCTCCCGCCACGGTCTGACACGGTCTCTCACGTGGGGGATGTCGTGGGGTGACGCCCAGGGAGGGGACCTGCCCCAGCAGAGCCGGGGTTCAAAGCCAGGGCCGAGTCCCGAGCCCAGGCCTCTCTGCCCAGCTGCGCTGCCTGAGGGGCCCTGATTCCATTTCTCTGAGCTCAACTTGTCTCCAATTAGCTCTAAAAGAGAAGGTCTTTGATGCACTTGGGGACAGGGCCACTGACACAGGCAGGTCCTTGTAGCAGAGGCGTTTAACCCTTTCTGCGCCTCCTCCTGGCCGTCTGACAGCCGCCTGAGCCATGGGGCCACAGAGCAAGCACCCAGGCGCCTCTCACTGCCAATCCCGAGACCCTGCGTAGCCCTGATGGGTGACACTCAGCACCCATGAGTGCAATGAATGGGTCCCCTGCACCCAGACGCTGCCAGAAAGGCCCAGCAGGCCGCGGGGAATTCTCTACCAAGAGGCCTGTAAAAGGTTAAGAATGCCCTGTTCTGGAAGATTCTGGCACACTGTGTACAGACGGAGGCTGCAATTGCTAATCACGCTGTGGCCATCGGGGATTGGGCTGGCCAGCTCCCCGCCTCCCCCTCCTGAGCACTTAAATGGTAATAAGCCGTCCCTCCCCAGGAGGGCGCTGGGCCCTGCTCACCACAGGGCCCCCAGGGCTTCGCCCCTAATTGGTCTCAACCCGAGGGCTCGCTTTCCCGCCTCTGGAGCGGAGCCCAGCCCCTTCCCTTCCCTTCCTGCATCTCTGTGGGCTCCCAGAACCCCAGAAACCCTCAGCCACTCCCTCTGCGCTGGGAGCCAGGGAGACGGCTCCTCTGGTTCTGCGGCGCTGGGTGAGCAAGCGTGGGGAGTCCCCGAGAACGTGGGGGGCAAGATTAGCAGCTCTGCTTGGGAGAGAAGCCATGCGCCTCAAGGATGCAACGGTCCCCTTTCCCGCCGTCCCATCTGTGGCCCTGGTGACAGACCCTGGCCTCCAGCCTGGCCCAGGCTGCACGAGGACCCCGAGAGGGTCTCGTCTTGGGAAAAGCAAAGATGATAAGGGAACGGGGTCCCCGCTGGGGGAGAGGAACGCGGGATCGTCGCAGAGCTAGCTGTGGGGACTGTCATCCTCCCCCGTGACTTTCCCAGGAGGCAGAGGCTGCGGGAAGAGGTCTGTGCAGATGAGCAGGGAGTGCCCAGGGGAGGCAGGGCCTCAGGTGGCCCCTGGGCAGCAGCCTGTCCCCCTCTGCCACGAGACTGCTTTGAAATGGCTTCGTCGAAATAATCAAGGAAAGGCTACAGAGCACTCGGCTGGTCTCTGCAGACGAAGCCAACCCTGGTCGTACAGAGGAGACTGGGGGCCAGAGAGGGAGAGCAAAGCACCTGAGGACACACAGCAAGTCGGGCGCAGAGAGGTGGGAACGTGGGCCTTCGTCCTTCTAGAGAAGGCCCTGGGGACTCCACCCTCCTGCACTTTGGAGAGGTGGCCCTGCCTGGCTCACCCCCTCTGCCCGGCTCATCAGAGGCTGAGCTGATCCACAGGAAGGCCCGCCCAGCTCTTCCTCCCAGGGTCATGAGGAGCAGGTCCTGTGCCCCAGTGGGTCGGGGTCCACCCAGAGCCTGCTGCTCCCAGGAGGCTGGGGGCGCCTTACCGTGTAGCGGTGGATGGCGTGGTAGCCGTGGTACAGCTCGGCCAGGTGCTGGTAGTGGTGGAACTTGGCCAACATGGCGTCCTTCTGGACAGGATCTGCTGCGGGCAGGAGCGGGCGCAGAGGGGGACGGGGCAGATGCGTCAGGGGCTATCTGGAGCCGCTGACCGGCCACAGCAGGGACGGCCGGTGGCGCTGCCAGCACCAGCTCTTTTGAAACACTGGGCCTACCCCAGGGAGAGGGACAGCACTGTGCTTGGGGACCACACCTAGACGGTGGCCTCTCAGCTGGAAGCATCTGAGGTCAAGAGCAACGCCACCTGCCGCCTGGCTTGGTGGCCCTCACTGCAGCAGCCTCCTGGAGGGAGTGGGACGGGGTCCCCCAGGGGTACGTGGGCACAGAGCTCAGGGAAGAACAGTGACTTGCTGCAGGTCCCTCCGTGGCCTCCGTTCCCAGAGCTTCCCCTCCTGCGTGTGGCCTTGGTCTAGAGGAGATGCACCTCTACCGCCCTGTCCCCCCTTTCTGGACTCTCCCAGTGCATCATGGGAAGTCCTGGGAAGGACGGCATCATGGACACGGTGCCCTGGCGGGGCGAGGGGCCTGCGGTGCGTTATGGTGACGTGATCTCTGCTTCATCTTTTCATTTAATTAAATTTTTTGAAGCCGGGGCCAGCTGCAGGCTCCCGGGCAGCAGCAGACAGCTGTGCTGAGTGGGGGAGGGAGGGCGGGACCTGCAGGCGTCACCCCTGCGTGGCCCTCGGACCAGCCTGCTTCTGGCCACACGAGGAGGAGATGACACAGGAGATTGTCCACTGCGAGGCAGGCTTGGGGACAATGCGCCCCGTAAACAAGCCCAGGGCTTTAATTAAAATGTCCCCGCTGGTCTGATGCTATCTGGGTGCCAGGACGGAGGGACCCACCCTGGGCGATGTGCAGGCACTGCATGGACAGCATCCAGTAGTAATAGGCGGCGTCGTTGAACCTGCTCTCCACCACGGCGTTGTGCGTCAGCTGCTCCAGCACCTGGACCGCTTCCCGCTGCCTCCCGGCCTTGTGGAACGCTGCAGGGGACACAGCACTGTCACCAGGGGAGGTGGGCGAGGGGGCCGGTGGAACTGCTCAGAAACTGGGACGCCAGTTTCTAGGAGCATCTGTGGGCCTGGTTGCTGGGATGCCGCCTCTCCGGCCGGAGGCTATAAATACCCGAGGCGACATCCTGAAAAAGCACAGTGCGACGCGCTCCGTTTTGGCTGGCAAGTGGTGACAACCTACTTCAGAGAGGCATGGCAGGGAGAGGAACCCGGGGAGCCAAGTCCCAGGGCAGAGTCGGAGCGGGAGACTGGCTCCTCCCTAGTGACGAGATGCTCCACTCCAGGAAGGGGCTCTGTGACTCTGAGGTGACACCCACGGGCCCCGACACGCGACGGAGCTCAGTGATTTACAAAGCGCTTTTCACCGTGCCTTAGCTCACTGGGTCACCACAGCAGACTGAGAAGGGTCGGTCAGCCTCCGTTTTATCAGGCAACAAAATGCACTTTGCCAGGTAGAAGTATAAGGGTCACGTCCAAGGTCAGAACATCGGGCCGGGTCCATCTTCGACACAGCGCTATTTTGCTTTGGTACTGGGGGTTAAACTAGGGGCCACTTGGCCACTGAGCCCCATCCCCAGCCCTATTCTGTCTTATATTTAGAGACAGGGTCTCCCTGAGTTGCTCAGCACCTTGCTGTTGCTGAGGCTGGCTTTGAACTCGTGATCCTCCTGTCTCAGCCTCCTGAGCCGCTGGGATGACAGGTGTGCGCCACGGCACCTGGCCAACAGTGCATTTTGATGTCAACCTTGAAAGATCTGTCTCCATCCTCAAAGCCAGACATTTGGGATGAGAAGCAAAATCTTCCTTAATCATGCCTACATCTGTGTACCTGCAATTTCCTGGGCACCTACTACATGGCCGGCGGCTCGGGATATTGAGCGCTGCTGGTCAGGCGCTTATGGCTGGGACACTTGACCACAGGTGGACACTCAGAGGCCCCAATCCTCCGCCTTTAGAGAAGGAAAGGTCTGGCCTTTGTTCCGTCTCATCTCCAGGCTCCCGTCTGCGTACCAAGTTACTATGGCGATGGATTCTTGGAAGGGCGACGCAGACAGATGGGTAGGTTGATGTGTTTTGCCCAAACATGCAGCTCCGTCAGCAACTGGGTGCTCTGGAGATGCTGAGGTGCTGGGGAACAGGCTGTCCTTCAGCGCGGGCTCTTCTCCCTACAGCGAGCCACAGACTCTGCACTGTGTCCAGAGGGGTGACTGTCACCATATAGAGGTGCAGGCGCGTCCCTATGGATTGCCACACACCTGGCCACAGTCGGGTGCCGTCTTGCCCAGGCAGCAGAACAGCCAGGTTCCCTGGCGGGACAGATCTGGCCCAGCTATGCCTCTGCCACTTGCTAGCCTGGTGACAGTGTAGGGCACATTTAGCCCCTGCGTCTCTGCAGGGCTGTGTGAGGATTCAAGGTTGGGCAGGTCAGGTACCCAGCCAGCGCCCATGCTACCTGCGTCGCAGGGCATTGTGAGGGTGACGGGGAAGACACACTGCAGTGCCTGGTGCTCTGCTCAGTCACACAGAGGAGTGGAGGGCGACTGGACCTGCCTAAGCTCCTGCAGCAGGTGGGTGACAGGCCCAGACTCCAGGCCCCTGTCCTGACTCCCGCTCCAAAGTGTCTCAGCGCCTGGGTGGTGGCTCTGTGTGCCTCGCATGCAAAAAAAGCATTTCACCCCAAACAGCCCATCCCAGGTGACACCACCTGCCTCGGGACCCGCAGCACAGGCCTGCTAGCTTCGCTGAACCGTGTCTTGGCAGCGCCTCTTCCTGGCCCTGGGGCACCAGGCCAGCCCACGTGACCTACCTTTCTGGGCTTCTTCGAAGCGATCGTTCTCTGCCAGCCACTGCGCGTAGGGCACGTAGATGTCGTCCTTGAACTCGGGGTGCTTCTCGCCCAGAGCGAAGGCCTGGGGGGGCGGGGCACACGCAGTCTTAATGAAGCAGTCACCGCAACCCCAGGAGACGTGGCCCTTGGCTGGATCAGGGATGTCATACTTTGGCAGCCTGACATCAGGGATGTCATATTTTGCCAGCTAAGGGGGGGGAGTGCCTCCCTCCCAGCCACCCCCAGCGACACAGAAACATCTCGGCTCTTTGGAAACAAAAGGCAATTAACAGCAATATGCACGCGCCCGCTCCCAGTGACAACACAGGCTGTTTCTGGACCCCAGAAGCCGCTCGGAATCGGAAACATTTTATTTTCAGGGTTTGCGTGGGCTCCTGTCGCCTGCAAACAGATTTCTTTTAATTGCAGGCGACACCTCGGGAAGCAGGACTGACATTCCCCTTGTCACTCACTGCTTGGGGGCTCAGAGGGGACTGGGGCTCTGCTGACGCCTGGGCCCAGACCTCCGGGCGGGCCAGGGGACCCCGAGGTCTCCAGCTCGTGCTGCTAGTGAGTTCCCCTTGAGAAGCCATCGCTGCCACTGTCCCTGGTGCCACCTTTTCTCATCAGTGTCCCCTGTCCCCTCCCCAAATGGGGTCACCCAGAGGGCAGGCAAGAGGCAGACTGCTCACCCAGAAAGGGCCCTGCTGGCACCCTGGGAAGCAGGCTGCCACCTCAGCTGGGGCCACCCCTCCTGCAGGGGTGGAGTGTCCCCAGGACACAGCCAGCCTGCGAGCTGGAGGGACAGAACTGGGCCTCAGGGCGGGCAGTGAGCCTCAGGTGGGTACTTCTATGGGTCTGGCCAGTGTGCCCTTCGCCTGCCCGTCCTCCATGCCGGGGCAGAGGCTGGGGGTGGCAGGTGGGAAGGAGAAGCGCTGTCCTGAGGCGGCTCTGGCACCCGGTGCCTGGAACATAGGGTTGGCATTTCCTGCCAAGATGCCACCCGGCAGGTTTTAAATACCACACAGGTGCACCTCCACGTCAGGCTGCAGGGTGGTCAGCAGCAGCCACAGGGCCGTCCTGCCAGCTCTCCCAGCCCAGAGCTGCCATCAAGAAAGAGCTTCCTAGCTGGGCGCAGTGGTGCCCGCCTGTCATCCCAGCAGCTGGGGAGGCCGAGGCAGGAGGATCGCGAGTTCAAAGCCAGCCTCAGCCAAAGTGAGGCCCTGAGCAGCTCAGTGAGACCCTGTCTCTAAATAAAACGCAAAATAGGGCTGGGAGGGGGCTCAGGGGTCAAGGGCTCCCCCCAAAAAGAGCCTCAGAATGAATGAAATCTACACAGAAAGGCCCCCCAAGCTTCTCTGGCTCAGGGGCTCAAGGACAGCCCTCCTGACGGCCAGGCCAGGCTCCCCCATCGTGAGAGCACCTCTGCCTGAGGCCCAGGCCCCCACGCCCGGGCGCCCTGTCCCCTCACCTCTTCCCAGCGCTGGGTGTCCACGTGCAGCTGCACCAGGGACTTGAGGTCGCCGATCTTGAGGTAGGTCTCAGCGGCGTAGCCCGGGTTGTCCAGCTTCTTGAAGTAGTGCGCGCACAGCAGCAGGGGCTCGCGCTCCGCCTTGTCCAGCTTGCGGGCGATGTCGATCAGCCTGGGGGCAGCGGGGAAGGGGCACCCGGTGGGCGTGTGGGGACGCACACTCTGTCCCTTCACCTTGCTGACCCGGTGCCACGGGCGCTCCCTGTCTGACGTGCCCAGGTGGTGACTAAGCGAGTGAGCGCCCCAGAAACCCTGCCAGGGACCGTCCAAAGCACCAGGAAGGGGCTGCTAGTCCCAGTCACAGACGGGGAGACCAGGGAGCAGGAAAGCAGTCTCTCCCCCAGGGTTCCTGGAAGCCTCTCGGCCACATGGAGGCTGGCGTGAGAGATCCCCAGGGCCTGGCCTCTGGAGGAGGAGGCCAGTAGGACCAGATGCTGGCCACTGGAGGGGCTGCGGGAAGTGCTGCTCAGTGCATCGGCCACTGTGACCAGCTCGCCCCCTGCCTTGGGGACCTGGGCTGGTGGAACGGGCCTCTTGGTTCTGGCCAGGCCGGGGTTTGGAGTGGACCCAGTTCTCTGAGGGCAGGGCCCCCGTAGCCTATCTCCGTGGGAAGGAAAGGCCCGGGATCCGGCCTCAGCCACGCTCAGGAGGGTGTCAGTCTGCGCTCAGAATAATAATGGCGTCCAAAAATAACACCGCTCCGCAGAGAAGGGACACGTTTTTTAGGGAAGTGGCACAGGCAGCCGAGGGCCTTCGAGCTCCCTGGCCAGCAGCCGTGTCCCTGGAGGAGAGGCACCTGTTGGGCCACTCCAGGAAAAGGGCCACGCAGCATGAAGCGGCTCTTTCTGGAACTCGGTAAGTGACCCAGGGTCACGTGGATCCGCAGCACTCGCCAAGGAAAGTGACATAAGGAAAAACCAAGGGGAGAGGCGGGCCCCGAGAGCTGGCTTGGTCTGCACCCCCTTTTGTGGACAGAATGATTTGGGGGCTCAGCCTCTGCCTCCGTTTTCTTCTCAGACAACAGGACGGGTGGTGGCTGCCCACCAGGGTCCCTTGGTGAGGGGCCCCCACACCAACCTCCTGGTGGGCTCGGGGGGCCACGTGGCCAGCCCTCTCCCCTCCCCAGGTCCTGGCTGGCCACTGCTACCTGGGGACCGGAGTGCGGCTTCCGGAACCCCCGGCGGCCCTCAGAGCTGAGGCTCCTTCACTTCAAGTGCCCAGGCCAGTGTCCCCCGCCAGCCCACTGTCCCTGACTGGAGGACCCTGGAGGCCTGCTGTGCATTGGTGTCCCACGGCGTGTCTGGGTGGGAACAGTCACATACCCCTCAGACACAGAGAGACCACCCACATCAGAGCCCGAGGCTCGGCCCCACGACTCTCCAGCGGCCAGGCCCTTGGGGACCCCGTGGGTCCCTCCCTTGCTAGCAGGCCGCAGAAGCGCCAACTCAGGAGGCTGGGACAGAAGCAGGTGCTTGTGGTGACTGTAGCCCTGGGTGGTAGCGAGTGCCCAGGGAACAGGTGCTCTGACCCTGAGCGTCTGCCTGGCCTCTGTCCCTGTCACCCTTTCCCCACCGAAGGCGGCGACTGCCTTGTCCCATGTCTGTGTCTCCCAAAGAACCGAGTCACTTCCACGTTTGGTGTCGACATTTCCAGAAACACCGTCAGTCAAACCCCACAGGTGACCCACACGACGGGTGTGCAGGGCCACCTACGTGTCGATCCAGCCGCGGTCCCCGCTGATCTCGATGGCTTTGAGGTGCTCCCCGGCCGAGACGTACATCTCCACGGCGGCCTTGGGCTCGTTGATGTTCCTGGCCCAGTCGGCCTGCTTGCTGATCAGCATCTTGGTCTCCTTGGGGTCCCCAGAGCCGAGGAAATCCTGAGGAAGCAGGACAAACACACACTCCGGATGAGGGCTTGCTGTGCCGCGTGACGTCAGGCCGCCAGCAGGGGCTCGGCCTGGCCACACGGCCACCAGGATGCAGAGGGAGCCCGGGCCTGGGGCTGAGTGTGTGGGAGAGGCCCACTGCCTGCCCGCTGGTGACAAGGACGCAGACCCTCCATGTCCCCTCCCTTCACACTCGTGGACGTCTACTGTCCCTCTAACTGCAGGTTCTCTCTGCTGGACATGTGGCCATTCCCACAGGGTGAGGGACCAGCTGGCCGCACAATGTCAACTCTGCAGCCCAGCAGGCTGACTGATAGGATAGGTGTGACACCGCAGGCTGGGGCTGAGCACAGGGCCCGCCAGGGCCAACCAAACACATGCACAGCTCCTAGCCAGGCCCCTGGTTCCTCCCCCGGCCACCATCACACTGGAAGTGCAAGTCGCCTGTTTTCTGATGTTTATCTCCCCTGGCTTTGGCCCCCAGAGCTCTGCCTGGGACAGATAAGAAGCCAAACAGCCTTTGGTGAATTGTTCTCAGCTGAATGGCAGCTGGCCCTGTGCGGAGATGAGCTCTGCAGGCTGGGGGACTGATCCAAAGTGGACAACCAGAGGCCCCAAGTATGGGGAAGGGGTCCCGAAGAGGAGCCTGTGGTCCTGAAGGCCCAGAGGTCAGCCTGTATCCCGTCGGGGGGCCGCTGCAGGGCTTCCCTGAGTGAGCTCATGAGAATGTGACAAAAATGGCCTCAGGAAGCCACTTCCCTTCAGGAAAGGGTCCCTGCTGTCATTTTTAAAGGTGGGGCTTTTCAAAAGGGGGGATGGAGAGAGGTTTGTGTTAGAATCACGTACCCTGCAGAGAGGGCTCCCTCCCTCCTTCCTCCCTCCCTCCCTCCCTCCTCCCTCCCTCCCTTCCCTGCTCCCTCCCTCCCTCCGTGACCAGCACCAGTCAGGTATGCTGGGAACCCACTCCAACAATTAGCTTTTTTCTTCTTTTTTTCCATTTGCTTTCAGAGTAATTATGTAGCCTCTAAAATGACAGATCAGGTCGTCGGCCTAGGACAGGCCCATGTCTCAGGGAGTGAGGGAAGGGCACGTCCCCCTCCCACAGGGCCACCCGGACGGGCCTGTTCCCTCTGGGCACCCAGGCGGGCAGGGAAGCAGCCCTCCTGGGCCACTCGGTCACACTCTGCTCTTGGTGGCTGTTCCCACGGCTACTCCTGCTGCCACAGAGGTTGAAGGGGGTGACCGGGGGGTGGGGCAGGGGTGGTGACCAGCATGGCAAAAGAATGGAGACGCCCTTCCAGGGGACATCAGAGGGCACGCTGTGATCTCAGGGTGGCTGAGGGAAGAAGGTCAGAGGCTAAGGGGGAGCCATCAATTTGGGGTGTCTCCCTGAGACCATCCGGCAGGCAGCTCCCGGCTCAGGCAGCCTCCTGCCAGGCCGGGGGTCTAGCCCCCAGGGCTGGGCCCTAATTGAAGCTGAGTCTTAATGGCCTTGGAGGCTCAGCGACCTGGGTTTTGAAAGGCTCTTTGGGTCCCTGAGGCTAATTTACACGTCATCCACGGCCACGGCCAAGGCTTTGTCCTGGAGTGGACAGAAAGAGGCTGCGCGGGTGATGAATGAGACCGGGCCGTGTTCCCCTCTTGGTGACTTTGATAAGGACATGCTACTTAAGAGTTAAGAGCATTATAATCCCCTTTATCACCATATAAACATGTCACTTATCCGGAAAGCATACAATTTATTTGGACGTGGGAATGTAATTTAAAAATTTTCCAAAAACCAGATTGAATCTTGGGAAGCAATTTTCGAGTAAACAAAAACATGCCATGTTAATAAGCACCGTGTCCTCCGCGCACCGGCCACGTCCACATCTCCTCAGATTCAGACGATTGGGCCGTGGGGGATGGGGGTGACCTACTTAGAATTGTGACCAAAACAGCCCCAGAGTACTCACCGTCACAGAGACGCACAGAGGGAGCCTATGAATGGACCCTGCTCCTGGGTGGGAGACTGTGGGCGTAGGGACCCCGGGCAGCGGTGGGCTGGTGGGGAGAGGCCCCAAGTGGACCTACTGTGTGCTCGCACCTGGCCCCTCACTGTGCACAGTTCTCAGGGCTGAGCTGGGCGCACCTCTGCTGCCCTCTGGGGAGGACATAGAGGCCTGCCATACCGGCAGGCACGACACTGGCACCCACCCAGCGCTGGCTCACAGTCTCATTGTCACATTGGGTCCCTCTGAGGTCAGCCTTCAAGGTCAGCTCTAGGCCCATCTCAACCTGTGGCTGAAGGTGGCCCCTTTGGAGACGGTGGCTCTTTTGTGTTTGCGCCACCTCCTGGGCACACACTGGGACACCACAGGCGGGCCCGGGCCTGGGTGGCGGGGCCTCACCTTGGCGTAGTCGAACATGCAGAGGTCGGTGTACATGTCCAGCGCCAGGTTCTCGTGCCCGCAGCGCCTGTACAGCTTGGCCGCCTCGTGGAACTTGCCCTGGTAGGAAAACACGTCGGCCAGGAACACGTCCTGGTTGGTCTCACCGCGCTTCTTCCTCTCCTGCGAAAACACAGGCACAGGAGTGGCCTCCACGGCCCTGGACAGGAGGCGGCCTCACCCACGGGTGAGCAAGGTGAGGCCCGGCCTCCCACTGGACCCCAGGCCTGGCGCTCGGGCTGCTGTGCCGCCTCCCTGCGTCTGCTGGGAAGGCCTGCGACTAAGGCCACCCTCCAGACCGTGGGGTCAGGGAGAGGGACCTTTGCTGTTCAATGGGAAATCCCTTGGGGCTGCCTTCCAGAACATTCTTCCAAGGCAACACTGGAAGGCTGGGACCGTGCGCACTGCTCCCTCATGGATGGCACCTAAGCTGCCAAGATCTCCCACATCCCTGGGCCTGGCGAGGGAGTGGCGACCAGGGACGATGGCAGATGGGGGAACTGTGCCCACCCAGCACCTTCCCCTTGCTGGATTTCCAGCAAGCGCGTCCCCCTGGAGGACAAGGACAGGGGACAGACTCCTGGGCGAGCTGGTGAGGTCTGAACAGCGGGAAGCAGCTGCTCCCCAGTGACAGGATCATTTTGGGGGAGACCTTCAGGCCACTGAGGCTTGTCACCAAATAAACAAGCTCCTAGTAGCTGGGAATGAAGGAGACTGGGCCCGAGACGGGAAAGAAAGCAGGTCTCCCTGGGCCAGCCCTGCTCAGCCCTCGGCTGTCCTAAGCCCCAGCCCCAGCCCCAGCCAGCGGGGCTGCTGTCACCTGCGCAATGACACCTCATCTCCGCGCAGTGACACCTCATCTCTCCACAAGGAGCCTCCGGAGTAAGCTGGGCTCCAGGAGCAGCACTGAAGCCCCAAAGCCGCAGTGCAGGCCTCAGACAGTGTCCAGCCTCCAGCTGCCTGGCTCACCAGGCGCCAGCGGCAGTGGCCATCTTGAAGGGCACAGGACACCAGAGCTGGTCCCCACAGGGGCCAGCCACTTTGTGTACAAAAGTTAATGTTCTGTGACTCCCAAGTGAGACCCAGGACAGTTGGTTCCCCAGGGCCAGCCCTGAGAGCAGGAGCACTGGGCAGCATGGGGATGGCTTTGGGTGACCCTTTGCCCACAGCGACACGACCAGGCCCTGGGCTGTGCTGGGGTGGGGTGGGGACCCGGGGTAGAGACGGACAATTCTGGAAAAAAAGGCAAAATGGGTTTGGAATGTAGCAACGCTGTTGGCTGTGGATCCCGAGAGAGGTGATAGCCTCTCTGAGCTGTCCCTGTCCCTTGCATAGGGGTGGCAGCGCCTGCCCTGCTGATTCGTGAGGACTCCCTGGATCAGGCACGGGGACAGGCGAGCTCAACTAATGGCAGCTGTCACCGGTTCCCGGGATTGAGAGCCCCTCAGCCCTCTGCCCACTGGGCTCTCCGGTGACAGGAGTTGATTATGCTGAACTGAATTAGAGGGACAAGACATTTGCCGGTTCCCTCCTGCTTCCATCTGGGAATTCAAATGTATCTCACATTCTCTTAGCCTCACAATAAATCTGTTCAGGAGAAAAAATATGTATGCCTTTTCACAGACAGTCAGACAGCACTGCGATACACAGAGATTAAGAAGAGTGTCTACCGCCACCCGGCAAATGGTGCTCTGAGAGCCGGCTTCCGGGCCGCGCCAGGCGAGCTGAGTGAGAGGAGGAGGAGGAGGCTGACGGAAGAGGAGGCCGAGGGAGGAGGCCAAGGGAGGAGGAGGCCAGCTCTCAGCAGTGGGTGGGCGCAGAGCCCCGGGGTGCTCAGGTCTAGGTGTAGCCTTTCCTCGGCTGTTTCTGGGGTGGGGTACAGATGCTGCTCCTTTGGGAACCACCTCCTGCACTGGTAAGTCACCAGAGGTTGTGACCAGCCAGCCACCACCACAGAGGTGCCAACCAGGAGTGGAGGAACCACGCATCTCCTCAGCCATCCCGGGGGGTCAGGCCGGTCCCATGTCACAGAAGGAAACCAAAGCTCAGAGAGCTTAGGAACCTGTCCTCCTCGTCCAGCTACCAAGAGACCGTGTCCCCCCTGCTCCAGGTGCTTGGTCCCTGGTGGCCACTGGGTCCCCAGAGCAAAGCGCGGCCCCAAGGCCATGGTGGGCTCGGCCCCTCCTTTACCTCAATGCTGCTGATGAGCTCCAGGTACCGCAGGTCCTGCACCCTGGCGAAGGCCTGGGGAAGAAATAGGGCGCAGTCAGCCACTGGCTTGGCTTCCAAAGTGGGTGGCTGGCTGGGGGACAGCGGAGCTGTGGCAAGGGGCAGGGACAGTGAGCGTGGGTTCCTCATGGGGTGGGCCACCCAGCGGGGCTCGGCCTGACCCCAGGATTAGTCCTTACAAAGGACAGCAAAGAAGCGCTGGGCGCACCCGTCATTTGGGGATCAGGTCTGCGGAGGGTCCAGGGGCCCTCCATTCGCAGGGAGGAAGGAGCAGGTGGACTTGGGGCTCGGGACAGGGGGTGAGGCGCGGCCACCAGAGACCGCAGGCACATCTCGGTGGCTCGGATGGGAAGCAGGAGACGGCTCTGCTGACCCAGGGGTGCCACCCACACGGCACCCAGAGCCCACAGCAGGGCGCAGGGGGGGGGGGACAAGCAGAGAAGGAAGGGGGTGGTTTGGGGAGGAGGGGACGGGGTGAATCACTGGTGCGTCTTACATAAACCCCGAAAGCACAGCCCTTGCTTGGGCCCACAACAAAGCTAGACTTTAACCCCTGGCTGCCCGAGGTGTCTGGGCCCAGGAGGACTGGTGCCGGCTGCACTTCTTTTGGTGCTTCTAGATTCTTCCAGGGGCTTCGAGGAAGGCCACCCAGTGTCAGGCTGGTCTTCCCGCGGCTCTGCCATCAACACGCTCTGCCATCAGCTTGGGCTGGCGCGTGCCCAGGGCAGGCAGCGACTGAGCAGCACGGCCTTGGCCACTGGACTCAGCTCAGACGCACGACGTCCTCCTCCTCAGAAGACTCAGGCAGCGAGCAAGCCACCAGCCTCTGGCTGCCACGCAGAGGACCACGTGTGACTTCATGTCTCCATCCGGCAGGGCTGACACCCTCTTAGTGACTGGGGACCCAGGTGACTACGACGAGGCCTCTGTCCACCTCCTCAGTTCAGGGGCCCACAGTGAAAAAGGGGGGGCAGGCAGAGCCACCAGGTCACTACATGTCCCTGAGCGGAGGGCTGGACAGTGCGCACACCCTGCAGAGAAGCCGGTCCCTGAGCACGGGAGGTGGCAGGCGGCAGGACGGGACCCTGGTGGTGGCCTTGCTCTCTGTCTTGTCTGGAGACAGGGCCTCACTCTGGGTCCCAGGCTGGTTTGGAGCTCTGGGCCCCCCGTGATCCTCGCAGCTCAGCCTCCCCAGCTGCTGGGACACGAGCACCCGCTGCCACGCCCAGCAAGTGGCTTTTCTCACAGAAGAATCTGCAGAAAGGGTACGGCAGCCATTCTTTCTGGTTCTGCTGCGTGCAGTGCCCTGGGAGAGTCATCATGTGTGAGTTCCTGCAGCCATGACGCATGCTGCAGAGTCAGGGTGGCTGGTCGGGTGGTCAGAGTCACAAGGCCTGAGTACCCTCTGCGCAGGGAGTGGGCAGCCAGGGCCAGCCACAGGGCAGGCCGGGCGCCGGGCGGCTCTCCCCTGCCATCTAGTGGCCACGCTGGGCTACGGCAGGAACCTGCCTGCACAAGCCTGGGCCCCACACAGCACAGAGGGTCAGGGCTCTGGGTGAAGCCCCAAGTCCAAGTCCAGGGGCAAAGTCTCGCAGCGTTTCTAGACGTCACTCTGCCTGTGCCTGCACGACTGTGGGCACAATTCTGTCATCGAGAACACCTAGACACACACTGTCCTCAGGACAACCCTGGGCTTTAGACAAGGACTCTGTTCCCAGGGAGCACTCCCAGGACACAGGCGGGACACTAAGTAAACAGAGGGCCACCCTGCAGAGCCTGCCAGTCGTCCCAACACAGGCAACGTCACGAGGGCCTGGCCCATGCTGGGGGCTCAGGGATACTAAGGTGAGGCGGCGGTCAGTCCTAGGTGTGACGAGGTGACAATCTGGGGGCAGGTCTGGATGTCGCTGCCCCAGCTGCAAGGAACCAGCCCCCTCAGGAAGCCTGCGCTGGCTCCACCCTTCCTGGCATTGATGGTGGAACAGAAGGAGCCCTCCAGGGAGGGATTCCTCAAGTCCCTCTGTGTCACCACATTCCTGACACTTACCACATCTAAAAATACCACAGAGAACTACCCTGTCACCATCACTTCCTTTTTTTATGGTGGCCCTGGGAGGGAGCCCAGGCCTTGCCTGTGCGCGTAGCACACAGATGTCCCTCGACTGTGGGAGAGAAGGAGGGGAGGGAGCAGGAGGACCGAGGGGTTGGGAGCCAGCCCTCTGCCACCTCTTGTCGTCGATGCAAATCCAACTAGGAAACACACTTGAGCTCAAAATCCACAAAGGGGCTGAACGGCTTGAGCCACTTCTGCAGCTTTAACTGACTAAACCAGGAAATGGCGCGATGAATCAAGTCCGTGAATCATGCCGTGTAGGCATGTGGGAAGTGGCCGTCCTGCTGTCGGAATCCAAGTGTGACCGTCCCCATCCACTGGACTTGGCCGAGAACCCAGAGAAACAGCATTGTGTCGGCAACGGCCTAACGCTGATGCGCATCAAAAAGGAACCATTTATTGAGTGTCTTATGTGCCAGGCTCTTAGTCAGATGCTTTACAGGAGTGACAGCCAGGAAGAGTGACAGCCAGAACCTGCCAGAGGCTTCTGCATGTGGCTTTAAGGCCTGTCCATTTGGATTGTACAACTGTGCAAGGGTGGGGCCTAGCACCACCAGAACCTTCCAGAAAGGCAATCTTGGAAAGGTCGTTTCCTGCCCAGGCTCACTGCGAGGAAATGGCTGAGCTGAGACACAACCCAAGTCATGCTTTTGCCCCTCGGTGTCACCTGGGTCCCCCTCTGCCTCCTTAGGGGACCCTCCAGGGACCCCATGCCAGCTCGGACCCACCAGAGGCTTACCTTCTTCGCAGTTTCAAACTCTAACCCTTCCAGGGCTTCCATGGCCAGCTCCCGCCAGTCGGCGTCCGTGACGCCCAGGCACGCGATCTGGTAGGCTTCCTTGAACAGCTTCCTGTCCAGGTACTGGTACATGGGCGCCGACTGCGGGGTGTCGCCAAAAGGAGAAGAGAGTTTCAGGGCAACGGAAAGGGCAGATTCCGACGCAGCCTGCTTCCAGATGTGCACAGCTTAGTTACGACCTCCTGCAGAGCAGGCCCCCGGGGATCCATCGGGGCGCCCCAACCTGCCCCAGCCACCTTGCACGCTCTGCTTTCCACTCTGCACCCCGACCTCAGCAGGGCCGCGTGCTCTGGGCACAGGCTCCCTGCCCATCCAGCCCAGGCCGGCCTTCCCATAAGATGTCACCCAGCCTGGAAAGGCCTACCGGGCTGTCAAGGCCCTACCCAAATGTCCCCTCTTCTAGAAAACCTGACCCCTCCACCTCCCACCCCAAGGGAGATCTGCCCTAAGTCCTGACTCGGGTCAGGCACTAGTGACACGCTGGTCTTCTTGACAGAGCCCTGCACTACCTGGGTAGGGGTCCCAGAGGATTTTGGTGTTGGGGTTACAAAGTGCTTCTGGCTCTGCCCTAACAGCCCTGGGTGGGCCAGTGTGGCCACTTCCTGAGACAGCCCAGGAGGCCCAGGCACGGCCAAGGACGCCTAACCCAATGCTGCAGCAGGAGGCCACCTGCTTTGAGCACGCACACAGACACGCATGCGCACACCAGAACCAGCCCCAGCTAGGCCTGACGTCGTCCATGAAGGCCCCTGTCCCCGTCCCAGGCCAGCCCCGGTGCCTCGGGGAACTGCATCTGCCCTTCTGGGCTCCCGGGCAGGGGAGATCAATCAGCCAGGAACCTCTGTGCTAATGGTTCCCAAATGTGGAGCTTGACCACTGTTTTCTCCATTTCGGGGCCTTTGTCTTTGAAATTTCTGGTCTTGATTTCTTAGCTTCAGCGTTGAAGGAAAACATTTTCCTTTCAAGCCAGTCTGCCCTCCCGACAGACAGCAGGACACGGTGACCCTTCCCACGGTGCCAGGCCACCCACCTCTCCTCCCTGGAGGGAGCCGCTGGGCACACGCAGGGGGCCACATCCTCGCTGGCCACCTTTGGGGTAATGTGCCACCTGGGGTTTGGATGCCTGGCCCAGCCGAGGCTGCCAGGGGCAAACGAGAGGGATTCTGAGAGTGACCAAGGACGGGCAAGGAGGGAGCAAGCCACCTCCCTGTCTTTCCCAGCCCAGCCCCTCAGCCTTCTGGAACTTTCTGGACTCCTGGAGAGACGTCCCCCTCCTGCCGGCCCCCCCAGCCCCCTGTGGGCTCAGGTTTCACCCCCTCCTGGGAGCTCAGCCGACTCCCACGCACCATGAGCTGCCTCCCTAACCCTCTGAGCACCTCGGATCCATGTGAGTCCTGCTTTGTGGTCGGGGCTGGTTCGTGACAGTCTGTAATAAGGAGACAGGATCACGGGCACGGAGCCAGGCAGAGCCTGAAGATGGGCGTAATTAACCCCGATCCAGGCCGGGCACGGCCATGCAGCCCCGGGTCCCCGCCACTCGCAAGGCTAAGGCCACAGACCTCAAGGCCAGCCTGAGCCACAGGGCAAGGATCCATTCCAAAAACTGACAGCAGAAATGAACCCCACGGCACAGGAAAGAAAATGAGGCTCAAACAGTGACAAGACAGTCAGCTGAGGTGGCGGGGCCAGGGCGCAGAGTCTGGGTGTTTCTTCCTCTAACAACAGGAGGGTTTTTTTCTTTTGGTACCAGGGGTTGAACCCAGGGCACTTGACCACTCAGCCCCCTCCCCAGCCCTTTTCTGTATTTTGTTTAGACAGGGCCTCGCTGAGTTGCTTAGGGCTTTGCTAAGTGGCTGAGGCTGGCCTCCAACTTGCGATCCTCCTGCCTCAGCCTCCCAAGCTGCTGGGATGACAGGCGTGGGCCACTGTGCCTGGTAAGAGAGCAGGCCTTCTTGCCTTGCTGACTGCCTGGTGACGCTAGGACAGGCACAGGGACAGGATCACCACGACAGTGAACATGCGCTGGCACCATCTGAGTGGGAGTTTCAAAAACCCACTGACTGAACGGGCACCCAGAGAGGGACACTTCACCTCGCTGTTGTTTTCCAGCATGAGGTCACCCCACCCCAGGAGCCTGCGCGGGCTCGCTACCCTACTTGGCAGCCCTGACCCACCAGCTCTTGCACAAGATGATGTCAACTTCGAGAGGAAACCAAAAATCCCAAGAGCGGTTCTGGGGCCTTTTCCCCATCTGGAGGCCTAGACCGCAGGGGGCGGAGGCAGAGGCCACAGATAGACAGCCTTTGTCTCCCAGCCTCTCCCCAGCCCACTGTGACCTGCTGCCTCAGCAGGACGCTGGCCCAGGGCTCTTAAGGTCCCAGCAGAGGCAGCCCCGGGTGGCCCCCTTGGCTCCTCCTGGCCGGCCAAGGTCCAGGGGCAGCAGACTGCAGCTATCTTGGAGGTCACAGTGGCCATCTGGGACCAAGACCTGTCACCAAGCACAGCCTGTCGGGCACACTGCAGAAGAGCGGGCTCCTGGTGGGTGGGGTACAGGGGTTTGGGACAGCTGTTGGAGAGCAGATGGGGACATCACCAGGGCCAGGGGACACTTACTGCCCCTCCCCCGCCATGGCTCCCACGGGCCCCCTCCCTTCTCTCTGTCCACTTCCTCAGATCGCGTTCCCCACCACTTCTTAAGTGCCCGGATAATAACAGACGCTGGCCCCGTCACTCTGCAGGACCAAGTCACAAGAGCCTCACTGGCTCAGAGGGAGAAGGGGGTCCAGCCTGAGAGGCGGGGAGACCCACCAAACCCAGCGGAAGGCCCTCGAGCTATGTCCACACAGCTCCAAAGGCACAGCCCTTGGTCTCCAGCAGCCTCACCTCTAGACCCAGGGGCTGAATTGGGAGAGAGAGACCCAGCTAGAGAGGCGCCCACTGCTTATAAGAGAAAAGAAGCGACAGTGTCCATGTCCCATGGCAGGAGCCGGTCAGGTGAGCTGTGAGCACCCAGGTGACAGGATCGACCACAACCTGGGAGCCGGGCGCAGTGGCTGGCCCCTGTGGTCCCAGCAACTTGGAAGGCTGAGGCAGGAGGATCACAAGTTGGATTGAGGTCAACTTGGCCATTTAGCAAGACTTTGTCTCCAAAAAAATAAACAAAAGGACTGAGGTGGCAGCTCAGTGGAGGAGCATCCCTGGATTCCTACGACTGTCAAAAAAAATCCTGAAACAGAAACAATTTAAAAAACCAAACCGAGCCAGGTGCGGAGGTGGGTGTGTGTAATCCCAGAGGCCTGGGAGGCTGAGGCAGGAGGATCGTGAGATCCAAGCCAGCCTCAGCAACTTAGCAAGGCATTTAGCAACTCAGCAAGACCCTGTCTCTAAGTAAAATACAAACAAGGGTGAGGATGTGGCTCGGCGGTTGGGCACCCCTGGGTTCAATCCTCAGGACCAACCAAAGAAAAGAAAGAAAATTGAAGTTGGAACTGGGCAGGGAGCAGCAGATGTGGTCATGGAAGGACAGCACAGGGATCGTGGGATTATAGGCGTGTGCCACTGTGCCCAGCTAGAAGTCCCGATCGCTGGCTCACAGGCCACATTCAGTCAACACAATTAGTCTCAGGTTCACCTTTAGGTGGCAATGCTTCTGAGGATAAGAGTCACAAACAATCCTTACCATTGTGTTCACAGGAAATCCTCCACTGGTAATTGTACGTGGTGCATGTATCATATACGCACTGTGCCCCACACTCCAGCTCTGCCTTTCTGGTCCGGCTATTCCGAGTTCGGGGTCCCCTGCTTTCTCCCCCGCCCCCCAGGGGCCAGGCCAGGGCCAGGCTTACCTGCGGCACCTCCACGGCCGTCATGGCGAACAGGTGGAGACAGAAGATCTTGGAGCCGTTGTAGCCGACCACGAAGCCCTGCAGCCTCTGCTGGTGCACGGGGAAGGTGCTGGCCTTGATGTTGAGGTAGCCTCCGCCCGAGAAGCACAGCATGTCCTCGCACTGCGTGTTCCAGGCCACGCTGTTGGCGTTGGGTTCCTGCAGGACAGACGGGACAGAGCCTGTGACCCTCACCCTGTGGCTCCAATCAGAGAAGTCCTGAAGACCGAACCATACTGAAAGGCACCAGGGGATGGGGGGCAGGTGGAAGGGACCAGACAGAAAAGTGTGGCGGCTCCTCTAGGCCCTGCTGACCTCAGGGGCGCTCAACCACGGAGCCATGTCCTCTAGAGACAGGGCTTCGCTAAGTTGCTGAGGCTGGCCTCGAACTCGTGATCCTCCTGCCTCAGCCTCCCAAGCTGCTGGGATGACAGGCGTGCACCGCCCAGCATGGTGGTAGCGTTGGAATTTTCCAAAAAGCACTACTTTGGAGAAAAAAATATTATTCTCCCCACGTGGTGATCACTCCAGGATTCTACCTCTTTTAAAGAACAGATTCGCATCTCTCTACGAGAAGAGGACGGAGGGGAAGATTCCAGAGGACCAGCTGTGAATGCTTCTGGGTGGGTGTTCATCCTCTGTTTTTTGTTTGCCTGAATTTTTTCCCCTCCGTGACTACCTATTGTTTTTTGTAATAAGAAAAGAACAGGGAGTGCTTTTTAAAATTAGAAAATGATATATTGTCTCTGCATTTTCCAACTCACACAATGTAAAAACTGGGAGGTGCCTCGCCCCATTAGACTTCTCCTCCACCTGGAACCCTAGGGACCGTCCGGCAGAGACTCAGACCCTGCTGCTTGGCGACTTTTTTGTGTGTGGGGGGGTGTCTGGGGTGATATTGGAGCCCAAGCTCCCACTGAGCTACACCCCCAGCCATTTTTATTTCTTTTGAGACAGGGTCTTGCCAAGTTGCTGAGGCTGGCCTTCAACTTCTGATCCTCCGGCCTCAGCCTCCTGAGTCATTGAGATTACAGGTGTGCACCTCTGTACCTGACTCTGCCAAGAATGTGTTATACCTACGTCTCTGCAATGAGCAGGGATCACTTTTATAATGAGGGAAAAAATACAGCAGGTTTTATTTGGAAAAGAGAAAGAACCAGCAGGCCAGAAACACTGGGGCTGGGTAGGCCTCCTGGAAAGGCCCGGGAACCTCCTTTTCCGGCCTCCTACCTCACGGGGGGGCCTGTTAACCCCCCGGCGGAGCCGTGGCTGAGCTGGGCACCGTGGCATGCTGTTTGTTCTTGCAGCAATTCTGAATTTCCAGTTTCATTTCAGAGACAAGGAGAAACTGAGGCTCAGAGAGAGTCACCAACTTGCTCAGGATCACACAGTAATGGATGTGGGCAAGAGGAAGGAAGGCCCAGGTCCGTCTGGAGACAACAGCCGCCCTTTCTCTCTCTAAACACCCTCTGCGTCTGGGATGTGAGCTGACATTAACTGGGGGTCACCTCTGTGCTAGTGGCAGCCAGGTAGCCCTGGCTCTCCCCAGGACACTGGAAAACCCCGGCACTGGGAGAGGGAACTCACTCCCTGACCACTTGCAAAGCCCCAAGGAGGCCACGAGGCCTGGGTCCAGCAGGAAGCCAGCCAGGCGCCAGGCGCCAGCCCCGGGCCTTCTTCTGCAGTGACACACTCCTCCCAGCCACAGGATCCATGATGTGTCAGCAGTGCCCAGCCCCCAGAGGCCCGAGCAGTCGTTTCCTTGGCTCATCGGCCCCTGGTGCAACAAGGACAAGGGTGGGCTTCCACCCCGCCCTCGCTCCCCTTCCCTTGACAGAACCCCTCCTGTAGCTCCACTGTGCCTGAGGTCACCCGCAGACACAGGCAGCCGCCAGAGGTGGCCACAGCCCGCTGGAAGCCCATCAGAAGCCCCATCTGGACACGAGCCCAGCCAGCCGGGTTTTCAGTTTCTCAGGAAACCCAGGTGGGACTCGGCTGTGCGGCTGGTGGGGAAGCAAAGGTAGAGAGGCCGGTCCAGGCCTGTGGGAGGAGCCGGGTCCCCACCTGCGCTGCTCCCCCCAGAGACCAGCCTGGGCCAGCGGGGCGCACCTCCTGCAGGGCCTGGGGGGTCCGCAGCCAGCGCTCGTCCAGCAACGTCCCCACGTCACCTGGAAGAGCAGCTCCTTGGTGTGGACGTCGTACACCAGGCACGTGTCGTTCTCGTCCACCACGGCCAGCTTGTTCCGGGACGCGCTCATGTCCAAGCAGCGCACGGCGGTGGCCTGCTTCAGGAGGACGATGGCGAAGAGATTGTCCACAAAGATCTTCAGGATCTGGCAGAGTTTCAGAGGAAGAGGGAGAGTCGCCATGGCAACCAGGGCCTGGCACCCGGCCAGCGGCGGAGTCCCATGTGTTCTCAGAACAACTCCCCCAACGCCGCCAGGAGGCCCGCAGGCAGGGGGCTCGCTCAGGGAAAGAAGGGGAAGGGGGTGGGGGCTTATCCTCAGGGGACCAGAGGGGGGTTCACCCAGGTGGTCAAACGCTCTCCAGTGTCCGCTCGGGACAGGAGACGTGTCACGGCCTTACTCAAAGTGCAGGGTGCGGGGACATCAGTGAGTCACCAACTAACACAGAAAGAGGTGACCACAGACCCCGATCAGACACCTGGTGTGCAATCACAGCGGTGAGGCCGATGGTGACAGCCACCATTGATGGACACTGCCACCAAAAAGGTAGTATCATCCTCATTTGTAAAACTGGAGCCTCAGAGAGGGAAAGCCACCGGGCCAGGGTCACCAGTGAGCAGCTAAGGAACAGCACGATCCCAGGGAGACCTGCCCCCAAGTCCACCTCGAGGGAGACTCAAGCAAGCTCTCCCCCCACACCGCTGCGGTCTCGCTGCTCGACGGCTCCCACCGATCGATCTCGTGTTCTGGGACTTCTGTCCCCAGCAAAGGACCTGACAAGCCTCAGCCACAGCCATCTGCCACACAGCCTGGCTCTCGGGCTAATGCAGTTATATTTTCACTTTGAAATTGCTATGTAGCCCACGTACAAGTGTCCTTATTTTGAGCACAGAACACACACTCGCACACTCGCACGCACACACACACACACGCACCAGAAATCTGTCGGATTTAGTGTGACCTGCATTTCCTGCATCTATCTGCCCAGAGGGTCCCCTTTGCTTACAGCATGTGGTCATGTGCTGAGGACCCGGCACTGCCAGGTCCCCAGCCAGGACACCCTGCGTAATCCATTCCCGCCCTAATAGGGATCTGACCCAGGACCGGTCCCCACCTCCCTCCCCCGACATCCACTAAAGCTGCATCTCCAACAGATAATCGCCCACCTTCCGGTGACCCCAAGCCACTAATCCGTCCTACGTGCAGTTCAGGCCTGGGCCGCCAACCGTGCCAGAGAGCGAGCGAGCCACACGCCTCAAGGCAGCCTCATAAAGAGGTCCCTTGCCATGCGCCAGGCGGGCCCTCTGCTGTCCTGCGAGACCATCGCGGTGGCCCAGAGGAGCGGCCTGTGTCTGCCTGCGGAGGGGCGTGAGGGAGGGCTCACCTGTCCGTTCTTGAGGCCCACCAACAGGCCTTCCCTGGCAGAAGGGCCACCGATCACCTTGATGTAGCGAATGAGAGACTCCATCTGCCACTCGCGCTCCTTGACCCCCGTGAAGGTCAGGCACTGCAAGCGCTTCTCCTGGAAAGCAAACCCAGCTCCAGAGAAGGGTCCCCGCCCTCCCAGGGGGCCTCCTGCACCTGGGGACGGAAGGTGGCCCTGCCTCACCCACCCCACCTCGTCCTGGGGATTGGCAATGGTTGAGCCCCACGTGGGGTCTCCTCCTCGGAGCCCACCTTCACCCCTTCTTCAAAGCTGACCTCACAGCCACGGGCAGCACCCCAAAGTGCACCTACTTGCCACGCCCTATCTTTTTTATTTTTTTTTATTTTTCTGTGGTGTTGGGAATGAACCCAGGGCCCTGTGCACGCTGGGAGAGTGCTCTACCACCTGAGCCAGATCCCCAGCCCCACACCCTGTCTTATGATTCTCAAACAGACATAGAGTTTAAACTCCAGAAATTTCCAAAGGATTTCTTCCTTTTTTTTTTTTTTTTTTTAAGTGAATTCCAACATGCGAAGGTGGAAACCTAATCCACCTCAAGTCGCCTTCTCTGGAAGTCTTTTCCAAATTTCTCTTGGAATTGACCTCGACACTTTTTAGAAATGTTCAGAACACTTTTTCGATGAAAAAAAACCAATCTCTCTGCAGGTAAAACTTCCTTGACTGCTGAGTTGATCCGGATTTCTTATGTGTGGGTGCCGATCAAAAAATCATCTTCATTTTATGGGAGGAACCAAGTTCTGTTTGAAGTCATGAGATCTAACCGCAGTCACCCAAAGTGGCCTACGACTGGGAAACAGGTCTTGTCTACTTCATGGCTCAGGTCTCCCCAGGAGAGGCTGATTGGTCTACTTGCCAGTAAAGTGAATAATCACAGTCACAGAGTGACAGAAAGGGAGCATCCAAAGCCTGAGTTGGGGCGGGAGGGGGCTCTGGGGGAGCAGGGAGGGCCACTAGCCCCCCGGCTGCGGCCCACCTGGCAGAGGATGATGTGGTCCGTGCACACCACCAGCAGGTTGCAGTCGTACTTCCGGAGGATCTTCTCCTTCACCTGGTAATGCATGTCCGAGGAGTCGTCGGAATACAACTCGTAGATGAGGATCTTCTCTGGCAGCTGAATCGCTAATCGATTTTTGTAGATGGCAATCTTCTTGACAAGCTCTTTGCATTTAATACGAACTGTCAGAGACCAAAAAAAAAAAAGAAAAAAAAAAAGTCAGGCTCCAGCGAAAGGCTGCTAAGTAAGGTGGAGGCAGAGAAATTAAAAGCTATCACTTACTTAATGCTATTGACAATTACAGTGAGATGCTCTCATTAAAAACCTTTATGGAGGGGCTGGGGTGGTGGCTTAGCAGTGGAGCGCTTGCCTAGCATGGGCGAGGCCCTGGGTTCGATCCTCAGCACCACGTAAAAATAAATAAAAAATAAAGGTCCATCTACAAGTGAAAAAATATTTTAAAAAAATCTTTATGGAGTGTCTGATATATACAGTCGGCTCCGCTGAGCACTGGGATCCAAAGTGGTACACAATACGATCTTGGTGACCCAAGCTTACAACCCAGGACAGGAAATAACATGGTTTGGGGTTGCTAATTGCTGAGTGTGAATCTCGACTCTTCTGCACAACATGGATGGCCCCTGATGACTGGGAGCCCACCAAAGTGACCAAACTCGCCTCTGGCCACTCCCACCCACCTCCTTGACAGCAGGGGACAGTATATAGTTTCTGGGACACACTATGCCGTGCCTCAGTTCAGGCCAAGTAGGAAAAATGCCCAGTTGCCCGAGTGACTTCGCTTCACCCGTCACAGAACCTTCCAATATAGGTGCTCCCGGATGGGGACCACAGGAAGCCAGCCTGGATCTGCAAGAAGACGCCCACCCTGGGTCCCTACACGAGGGCACCCACGAGTGTGAGATAGCGGGGGTGTGAGTGCTGCTGCGGCAAGGGCTCGTGTGGCCTGTTGACCCAGCAGGGCCACCCGCGTGGACTTGGACTGGGACGCGGTGCCTGAGGCCCAGGCTGTGCTCGTGGGCCACCCTGTCTCTAGCAGGACTCACCCAGAAGCAAGGGGAGGCTGAACTAAGAGAGTGGCCTTGACCCGAGAGGGTAGACACCCACACTGACCCACGTGGCCAACCACCTGGCTCTGGCAGGCCACAAGTCACCCTCTATTTCTCAAAAAGATCTGCAAACATTTTGTGAGTCAGAGCATGATTCTAGAGAGAGGTCACTGCTTTCCTTATAGCCTCAGGGACATCGATGTCCCCCTGGTCCCTGGCCCCAAAAGCAAGAATCCGGGTTTGCAGATGTCTTCAAGTGGCCAAGGAGAGACATTTCCTTGTCACTTCAGGGCCCTGTCACCGGCTCCCTCGACCTGCCCCTGCCCCCAGTGCCTGCCCTACCTTTCTGCTCCGTGATCAGGTGCTGGATCACCACGTCGGTCATGCCGTCCCTGTAGGCATAGCGGTCCTTATACAGCCCGTGAACTGTGCTGAAGATGAGCTGGTACAGGGCGATGGTGCCATCCTGGCAGCCGACCACCTGCAGGGAAGGACAGCCGTCAGCTCCGCAGGGGGACAGTCCACCCTCCCAGGGCAGGAAGACACCAGGATCTGACGGCCAAGATGGCTGCCGGTCAGGGCCTCCGCAGGTAGAGGCCTGGAGAAGGGCCTTCCTCCTCTTACCACATAGTTGGAATCGGGCTTCACTTTACACGTCCACACCCAGGAGTTCTGCTCCCCGATAGTGCCCAGCCGCACTCCGTCCTTGGTATAAAGGGACACTTGCTTGTCTGACCCCCCCAGCAAAATGTACTCCCCTTTAGTGAAGTAGCTGAGGCAGCAGGGGTCAAAGTTCAGCGACTGGTCCTTCCCGATCTGAGAAAGAAAAGCCACACTGTGGAAAGGAGCAGGTGAGGGTCCATTGTCACCACACCACCGTCAGCGGCTTGGCCCCCCGACTTGAGCTGGGGCAGCTGGGAGGACGGGGAGGGCTGGCGGCCTCCATTGTGAACACAGCCTCCCTGCCTCCGGGCCTCCCTCCTCCTCCCCCTTCACCCAGCCAGATCCTTGACTCCTGGTGGCAACAGCATCTCCCTCAGGTGACCCAATTGTCCTGAAGTGTGTCTTAGCCTCGCAGCCAACCTGGGGGCGGGAGGTGGCCTCTCTCCCGTAGGCCCCTCCGTGTGTGGCTCTTGACACACGCGACGTGGGTTCCCTCCACCCCTGGACTCAGGTTTCTATCAGTGTCTCCCCCCAGGATTTCACAAAGCTGAGAGCACAATCCAACAGTGAGACAGCTGTGCCGTCATGACTGCTGTCACACACCAGGACATTCCTGTCACCCCCAAAAGAAATCCCAGATCTGTCGGAACTCCAACTGCTCAATTCTGTCCTCGCTTCACCCCCCAAAACCTCGGACCTGCTCCCGTGTGCAGTGTGACCTCCTGTGGGCATCTTCTGCAAATGGAATCCCCCGATGTGTGACCCGGGTGGCACCCATCAGTACGTCACTCCTGCTCATCACGAATGGCTGGGCCACGTGGAAACCTGATGTCTAACCTTTCAGGAAATGGCACCCTTCTTCAAAGTGACTGTGCTTGGAGGTTTCTGCTGTCCTGTCCTAAGGATTCCCATTTCTCCATCCTAGTGGCGTAAAGTGGCATCTGGCTGTGGCTTTGATCTTGATATCTCTGACGGCTCGTGATGCTGGCCTTCACTTCCAAGGCCTGCTGACCACAGGCCCTTTACCCATGCTTCGGCTGGTTATGGTCTTTAATGACTGAGTCGCCACAGTTCTCTATGTAGTCTACACCCAAGCCCCTACTCAGATACGTGATTCAGACAAAAGAAACCTCTCCCTTTCTCTCTCTGTGTGTGTGTGTGTGTGTGTGTGTGTGTGTGTGTGTGTGTGTGTAACCTCCTTTGAGGGGTCTGCCTCAGCTTTTAGGCTGAAGGTTAAAGTTCTGAGCTCGGCCTTGGAGATCCTTTGGTCACTCAACATGAACTTGCGACTCTCCACACAGATGGCACGCTCAGGCCACCGTGTCCACCCAGGTGTTATTCTTTCCATCTCCCCAGAACCAGCCAGCTGTCACCTTCCCCAGGAAACATCCCAACCTCCCCAGATTTAGACCCCCACACCCACATCCCCGGCCCCGGCCCCCGCCCAGCACCCCCCTCTCTGTTCGGGGTCACAGATCTGAGCTCCTGTCTCTCCCTGCAGCCCAAGCCCTTCTTGCCACCAGAGTTCCTCTTGCTGCCCCTCTGTGGGGGTCCTTTGTGGGGGAAGACGACTTATTAACATTATTGAACTAATAATCAATTTATCAAAGAAAATTCTAGAAACCAGTTTCTGCCTTAAACTCAATGTACAAGTATCTCTCTATTTCTAGTAAAAGGGAACAGCCAGTTGACTTTGTTTGATGAATGCCATTTTGAACAGATTATAATGTCCCTCAAATAGCCACATTTGCAACTTAGTTAATTCCCATAAACTAATTTAAACTGCAATTATAAGTTTAAAAAGTGTGATTTTCATGTCTTTTTTAGGAATTTCCAACGCCTAACAAACAAAAGTTTGCTTCATACCTACACAATGTTTGTGAATCTAATAAGAAAACTGAAAAAAATCTCAACGATTATGATATGAGAGGCCGGCACCTTTCGGTAAAGGCTCGGTGCTCCTGGGGGACAGACCTTCCTCTAACTTAATCCTGAACTCTGAACCCCAAATACAACACACCTGAAGACACTGGCGGGCAACCAACAGCAGGTGGAAATGAAGACATGCGCACACACAGAAGTCAGGAATAACACTCAGGGGAGCTTCTCCCCACCCTCCTCCCTGGGGTGCTGCACCCCTGAGCTACGTCCCCACTGCATTTTATGTTGACACAGGGTCTCACTAAGTTGCCCAGGCTGGCCTCCAACTTGTGATCCTCCGGCCTCAGCCTCCTGAGTTACTGGATTCCAGGAGTGAGCCACTGTGCCTGGCTGAGGTTCCTATTAAAAATGAGGCAGGACGTTCCACAACAGAGAGGCAGAGGGACAGCCTAGGTTCTGCACAAAAACTCAGCTGAGGGTCTGGAAAGGCCTGAGCTAAGGCTGAAGCTGCACAGACTCCAGCCACTGTGGGCCACTAATTCATCAGATACACTCTCTGTTCTCTCCTTTACTGGGTGGGATTCCAGTTCGGTGATCTCTAACATTTCTAATAAGCTCATCCAGTGAATTTTTTATTTCAGTTATTGCATTTTCTACTTCTAGAACTGCCATCTGATTACCTTTCCACGTCTGTGCCTTCGTTGTAAGCATATTTTCCTTCATTTCCATTATTAGTAAGCCAGGTCCCCTTATGCACTTAAAATGCCAAAAATGCACAGATTTTACATAAGCCTAAGAGACTGTGAGCCACACAGTGCTGAATGAGGATGCTCACGCATTACGTGGATGAGCTTCCAGGGCCTGGCAAACCAGCCGCCAGGTCATTAAGATAAGGGTTTGGGGAAATCGGCCATTGCACACACACACAAAAAATATATCTGCTATCTTAATCGTTTCCTTACTCAGCTACAAAATAAGTGAGCACTTGTAAGACAGGCGTAGAGGAAATGGCCCAGGGCTGGGCTGGCCCATCTGGAACCTTCCTTGTAGCAGACACACGTGGAGGAGTAAGGATGCCCTGAAACCAAGGCCCCACCCACTGGGCGTATTTCCTTCCGGGCTGAGTGTGCAACCCACACCCGCCACCTTCACACTAGCCCTGGACACTTTTTTCCACTGACACGTCATCCTGTTATCCAAGTCCCTATATTTTAATGTGGAATTAAAGACTTCTTCTGACCAGGCCCCTCGCTGCCTGCCACCTAGGGCTCCTCAACACTAGAGGATGGACTGTCTGCCATCGGGTGTGTCCCCACCAGGCTGTGAGCTCTTGTAGGGCACAGACGAGCGCTTACACTCCCCCATGTGGGGGCCAACCCAGAGGGGGCCATAAACACTGGGGGATGATGGAGAGCTGGCCTCTCGTGGTGGTGGTCACACGCATTTCGGACAAGGGCTCACCTCTGAGTCCCAAAAGACAGACCTTAAATTCATACAATCCAGACTCCAGGGTCAGGCTCCACTATGTCCCAGCTGTGTGGGATCCTGGGCATAATCTCTCATCACTCTGGTCTTGGCCTGCTTATTTCTAAAAAGGAGACCTTGACATAGCCACATCCATGTTTATAGCAGCTCAAGTCACAATGGCCAAGCCAGGAAACAACCGTACGTCCGCACGGCCCTACATACCTGCTTTCCACTCAGTTGGTAGAAGGAGAGTTTCTGTCCCCAGTCAGCTACAGCCAGGATGTCATTATGCTCCTCTCTAATCAACAGAAGACAAAAGAGGTTAAGGGGGGTCGAGAATGAGGAGGAGCGCAGCCCCGACGGCCCAGTGAGCAACAGGAAGCAGCAAGCCCGGCCGGGCTGGCAGGGTGCCCTGCTTGTGAGGCCAAGGCTGTAGTCTGGCTCAGTCCAGTGACCAGTCCACTGGGCTGAGCAGAGGGCAAGGTCGGGCCTCCTGGGGTCTGCGGCTCCCCTGCTGATGGGCTGGGACACTGCCAAGTGGCTGAGAGCAACACTAAGAAAGAGCAAGGTCACAGCCCAGGAGCACCTTTTCTTATGTACTAAAAACTAGGGGAACTGTGTTTGCAGAGAGAGGCCACAGACTCTCTGGTGTTTAATAAACAGAGGCAAAACTCACTTGAGCCTCTTGAAGAGGGAAAGTTAACCCCTAGAGCCAGGTTCTCTTGTACCTTACACGGGTGCAATGGCTTCTTACTGGATTGTTTTTCCCTTCTTATTTTTTGAGACACGGTCTCACTATGTTGCTCCGTCTGGCCTTCAATTTGCAATCCTCCTGCCTTGGCCTCCTAAGGCACTAGGATTATGGTGTACAGCACCATGTGTGGCTTTGGATCTGATATAAAAAGGGTCTTAGATTTTCCGAAGACCAAGAACTGTCTGCAACTGCGATCTCTGGGGATCAGGGCCTGGGGCTGGGGCTGAGGCTTCAGCTGAGGGGGGAGAGGGCTACCTGGGAATCTAGTTCAAGAGAGAGGCATCTCCCGTCCTTAAGGCCGGGTCTCCATGCACCTAGAGTGACCCCCTTTACTAATTCCAGCTTTTCGGAGCCCAGGGCCCGACGGTCACCTGGCAGTGTCACAAGATATGTTTGAAACACCCAGCCCAAAGTAGCAGAGTGGAAAACGTCACAGGTTTTAGAATAAAAGGGTGAAAACAGAAAAGTCGAGAGACAGTGGTGGGGCAGGAAGGGATCTGCAGGTGAGCTCTGGGCAGGCAGCGCAGAAACGCAACCAGCCCAGGACCAACCGAGGCCGCCCTTCTGGGGAGGTCCCATGTGCCTGTGGGCTGGGCTGTGTCCCTGTGAGCTGGACTGGCACCTTTCAAACTTTCCTGCCCCTCCCCAGGGCCGTGGGACTCTTCACCACGACAAAACCTCATGGCACCTGAAGCCCTCCTGGTTCCTCTCTCCTTCCATGACCCTGGGTCCTTCCAAAGAACCTCGCGGTGTGGCGAGTCCCAAGCTAGGTCAGCACTGGCCAGCAGGACACCTGGTGGCCGCTCTCCCCCTCTGTCCCCTCTGGAGCTGTCCCCACGGGAAATCTTGGGGGACAAGAGAGACCACTGGGCTGCCAGGCTTGGTGGCCAAGGACTGTGGGAAGTTGAGCACGTCCTCTCTGTTGGGTGTCCTCGTCCATGCAAGGAGAGGTACGGTGTGGGGACAGGCCAAGAGAGGTGTCCAGGAATGGAAGAAGTGGTAACTGAATCATGGACACCCACACGGGGATACCATGCAGGTATTTTTAAAAAATCAGTTTTCAAAGGATTTTTTTCCCCTAGTACCAGGGATTAAACCCAGGGGAGCTTAACCACGGAGCCCCATTCCCCAGCCCTTTTCTATATTTTATTCAAACACAGGGTCTCGCTGAATTGCTCAGGGCCTCGCTGAGTGGCTGAGGCTGGCCTTCAACTCTCGATCCTCCTGCCTCAGCCTCCTGAGCGGGGTTGGAGGATGAGGGGGGATTACAGGCCTGTGCCACCATGCTGGGCTCAGAGGATCCTTAAGGTTACTGGAAAATGAAAAGCAGGAAAATCTCTGCTCTTTTAAAAGATTCCCTCGTTTCTTACAGGATCACGTGATGGCTCACGTACAAGGGCTTGGTGGGCGCTCCTTGCTGGGGACGCTGGCCTCTGCCCTGCTCCCTGGCCCTTACAGGAGGGCCCTGGCTCCTTGGGACACTCACGAGCTGCCATCCCGGGGAGAGTCGTCGTCCTCCTCGGGCTCCTCCTCCTCTGCCTCACTACCCTGACTACTGTACACTGTTGGCTTCAGAGTGGAAGGGATTTCCTGAAAATATCTGCTGACAATGATTTCCTCAGCGTCCTCGTCCTCTCTGTTCGTCCAAAAATTCTCCCACCGGCTGTGGATAGTAAGTGGTTGTTCACAATCACAGGGCCCAGGGCAGCACGTGGGCTGTCACTCCTAAGCCTGTCCAACAGCCCCTGCACCCTACCCGGAAAAGCAGGCCACCAGGTACGCTGGGCATCCTGCTTCTCATGAATTAAAAATGGGAGCCTGAAGCCACACAGTCATCTGTGGCCACAAAATCAAACAGCAGGAACTGCGGGGTAGGCTAATGGCTGCTGATGGCATGAGATACAGGCTGCAGGGCCGGGCCAGGCCGGATGGTCCAGGAAGCAGCACAGTAAGCCGGTGTGGGAGAGGCAGCAGAGTGGAGTGAAACCAAGCAAGGGTCCACCTATGAGGGGACGCTGAGCTGCTAACAGTCAAGTCCTGTGATTTACCTCTGGAGGACTCTAGGGTGGGGTTGGGGGTTTAAGGACATCATGGGATTACACAAAGAGCCTCTGAGGCTACATTAGTCCCCCTCACGTCACCTGGGCACGGGAGGGAAGTGGGGGTGAGGTCTGATGAGGTAGATGTCAGTGGCCCGCAGACCTCTAGGTTGTAGGGACATGTTTGGACTTAATTTTAACTTTTGTGGCAAGGGCAAAAACAGTAAAAAATTAAAAAATAAGGCTCGTGATTAAAAAGGCTGTGGACCAACAGGTGGGCATGTGGTCTGTCCCAGCTTGGAAAGCTCAGCCGAAGAGAAGAGAGAAACAGGCACAGGAAAGATGGCAGCAAGTAGTGCATAGGGAGATGGCCGTCCTGAGTCGCACACCCCAGGCACAGACACGCGTGCACACACACACACGCACACGCACACGCACACGCACACGCACACGCACACCGTGGGCTGGCCTGCAGAGCTCAATCCGCTTGGCTTCATCTCCGTGATTCATTCCAAAACTCAAGACAGGCCCTTTGAAAATGAGACTTAAATGGGGCTGGGGATGTGGCTCAAGCGGTAGCGCGCTCGCCTGGCATGCGTGTGGCCCGGGTTCGATCCTCAGCACCACATACCAACAAAGATGTTGTGTCCGCCGAGAACTAAAAAAAAATATTAAAAAAAAAACTCTCTCTCTCTCTCTCTCTCTCTCTCTTTATAAAAAAAAAATGAGATCTAAATGGAACAGAAGAGATTCCACACCAACCCGTCTAGTGGGTCAAGAAGACTTTCAAAATACAGTGACGTTGGGAAGACAGAGCGCACTCTGCCCACTCAGGTGTCTGTCCCCAAAGGAGGACAGTTGGGAGGGTACCTTGATGGGTTCCAGCAAATGGACCATATTGGGGACAGGGAGCCCCCGGGCCTCTGGATCTTGACTTTCTCCTCGCCGTTCTTGTTCCGGATGCTGATGACCCCGTTGAACATCCCCAGGGCCAGGTACTGACCGTCATTTGTCCAGCTGCGCACATGATCGACAGAGAAGGGGACAGGAGCACGTGAGGAGGAGGCCTTGATTTTAAGGAAGTGTGGGGGGCTGCAGGCTGGGCTACCGTCCTGCTCATTCCTGACACAAAGTCGGAGGCCCCGCTGAGACTCCCACCTGTTCTGGGCACAAGTGTCTTTTCCCGAGTGCCCACAGTTCTGAACAGGCCCCCATGACAGCCCCCAGCTCCTGCCTGCACTCCTGCCCCGGCCCCACCTCCTACTCTCCAATCCCCTCCCACACCCAGAGCACCCTACCAACGGACCCTGAGTCTTGGTTTGAAAGATGAAGGAACATAAAGCCCATTTTCAAGTGGCCCTTACCTACCTGCAGCAGGTGACCCTGTTGCTTGATTTGTGCTTGGAGACAGACTTCTGTTCAGGAGACCACAGGCCTGAGATGTGCGGGAATAGAAAGGACCAAGTGGTCAGAATACTATGCAGCAATCAAAAAGGAATAGACTGTTGTCCTATATAGCAATTTAGAAGGTCTCCCAGGGTTTTCTGTTGAGCGAAAAAAGTCCACCTCAGAAGGTCATACACCAGATACCAGAGTCCATTTTTTTTTTAAGTTTTTTTTTCTTAGTTGTAGGTGGACACTATACCTTTACTTTATTTATTTATTTTTATGTGGTGCTGAGGATTGAACCCAGTGCCTCACACGTGCTAGGCAAGTGCTCTACCACTGAGCCAGTGCCACATGATTCCATTTATATAATATTCTTGAATGCAAAACTGTAGGACAGGGAACAGATTCATGGCTACCAGGGGTTGGGGATAGCAGGAGGAAAGGAGGTGTGTTGGTGATAAGCGGTATCTGTGTGGTGGTACATTTGTTCTGTATCACAGTGGTAATAATCAAAATGTGATAAAAATGACAAAAGCTAGCTGGCCGAGGTGGCACATGCCTGTAATCCCAGCGACTCGAGAGGCTGAAGCAAGAGGATCACAAGTTCAGGTCCAGCCTCAGCAACTTAGTGAGACTCTTCAGCAACTTGGCGAGACCTTGTCTCCAAATGAAAAAATTAAAAGGACCAGGGATACAGCTCAGTGGTAAAGTGACCTGGGTTCAATTCGCAGTAGCCCCCACCAAACATAAATCAATAAATAAAAGACAGAACTCTACACACACCCTGTGCCTGGCCCAGTTTCCTGGTGTGGGTGCAAACGTTACGTAAGACGTGCCCGTGGGGGAACCAGACGAAGCGTGCGTGAGACTACCCTGGACTATCTTTGCGGCTTACTGAGAATCTATAATTATTTCAAAAGAAAAAAAAAAGAAGATAGATTCGTGAGGCTCTAGCCAAAACTGGTCTGCAATTTAGGTCTCAAAGAAATAAACTAGGAAACTGTAACCATAGGGATGGACGCTGGGCGAGTGTCTCACGCCTGTCATTCCAGCTGCTCGGGGACCCAAAGCAGGAGGGTCACAAGTCTGAGGCCGGCCTGGGCGACTTATCCAGACCCTGTCTCGAAATCAAAAAGAGATGGAGCCCAGCAGCAGAGTGTCCTGGTTCAATCCCAGGGCTGCGAAATCTAATGAATAAAGAAAATCATGATTGGTGCTGAGGATCCGTCTCCTCTCCCGGGACTCCGCCACAGCACAGCTTTGTTCTTGGGACACTTGGCACCTAGGCTTGCTCCCTGTGGCCCGCAGATGCCCTGGCTCAGTGCCCCACAGCAGGGCCAGCTTCAGACAACATTGGCAAATTCTACCCTTGGCCTGAGCCGTGAAGCTAATGACAGGGACACGCAGCGCACAGCTGTATTTATGCAGCCAGGTGCGACGCTCAACAGGTCACCGTCCCCTCCACCCCAGGGTGCCTCCCCCACCTGGCCCTGCAGCATCTCCACCTGTGTGTGGTCCAGCTGCTGCCCCGAGCCTGCCCAGGCCTCCAGCTGAAGGGAACCTGCCCTCAGAGGGCTCCCAATAGAAGATTCTAGAAGCAACCAGTCTCCTGGGTCCACAACCTGGTTCCTCCACTCACCGCTGAGTGGCCTCCAGTGACCAGGGAACCACGCTAGGCCCCAGTTCTTTGAGCAGGGTGCGATGAGACCAGAACCTGACCTTGGGGTCACCTGGAAGTCATGCTTAACTCTCAGGACGGTGCCTGCACGTAAGCAAGCACTCAGCAAATGTTGTTTTTACTTAAAAGTTGTTTTTTTTTTTCTTTTACACATTCTGCCCTCCTCCAAGAGCTCAGGCCTGAGGACAGGGAGCCTGGCTTGTCGTTCTAATCCTCTCAGTAAGCACAGAGGAGAGGGTCCACTTCACACCCGTGAGGGCCCCTATGTATTTACACAGTGCTGTCCGTCTCCGTCTCTTGTGAACCTCAGAACCCTATCAGCGGGACACACGGGGTGGGTCCCCTGACCCACTGTCTCTTGGCAAAGAGACTCACAGGGGACAGAAACCCAGGGTCGGCCTTCCATGGAGCTTCCCACAGGCCCCTCCCTCCACACGCATCTCGCTGAGCACCTCATCCAGGCCAGTGCCACCCCAGTCCCTGCGCCATGTCCAGAGGGACTCAAGGCCTCCAGCCCCCCAGGGAGCAGAGTCACCCAGACAGTCGTGACAATGCCACCCTTGACATGGTGAAGAACGTCACGCCCCCAAGGGCCTGGATGGGCACAGGTGGGGCAGCTGGAGTGTCCCTGCTGGTGGCCACAGGAAATCATGCCTGGGCCCTGACCAAGTCCCTGCCTGAGACCTTTGGTGTCTTACCAGACTCAAGGTCATCATCACCCGCGGCCTGGGTTTCTGCACAGTTTAAAGAATGCATTCCAGCCTCCCCAGGGTGCAGCAGTGTGTTGGCTCCCGGTGGCTCTCGGGGTGAACGTGGGGGTCATGGGTGGATTTCAGCATGTGGGGCTCAGAGCTCCGGCTTGCCCAGACAGGGGGGAGGTGGGGACCTACCGAAGTCGCTGGAGGAGCAGGACGCCAGCTGGTGTGTGATGGGGTTGTAGGAGACGCACTGCACCGAGTCGCTGTGCCTGCAGAGGAAACGGCTGCAGGTCGACACTCAGCCCCCGCAGACACCTGAGTGGGTCAACCAAGGCTGGGACCAGGCCCCCTGCAAGTGACCCACAGCAGCACAGGGGCTGATAGCCCTAACCACGAACATGCAGGGCGTCAGGTACCGCGCACGGCATCTGGCCCCAGGTTCATTCCTTCTGCGTAACGTTGGCCTTGCGACCCCAACTCCCCGCAGGGGACCTGCCCGAGTCTAGGAGAGCGGGAAGAGTCTGCAGGGACAGTGACTTCGGAGCCGGGAACCCGCAGGGACGTGGGGGCTAGCGAGCGAGGGAATTGGGGGACAGTGGGGGGCCCAAGTTCCTGGCTTGTGACACTGGGGCATGGGGCCATTCCCTGAGGCAGGGCATTGGAAGAGGCCAGGTGGGGGCTGAGGGGCACCTGTGGTGGCCTAGGAACTGAAAGTGTTACATGTCACCACCGGCCCAGCTGCCACCTAGTGAGGACCGTTCACAACCATTCCCACGTGTAGTGACTTAGTTTTCAAGTTCATTTCAAGTTTAAAAAACAAGTTCACCTTTACATCTTTCCTAAGAGGCTTGTGCGAGAACCATGAGCGGGTCAGACTCGTCACTCTGCCACTCGAGTGGCGGGTCACTTACGTGTACTTGAGAATGCCTTCCAGTTTTGACGTCCAGATAATAACACTTTTATCAGCCGATCCCGAGGCAAAGCGCTTGCCTAGAAATGTTTTTAAAAAAGAAAATTGTCACATTCACATTAAGCCAGCATTTCCAAGAGAGCATTTCTTAGAAAACTAGTGGGTTTTTTTTGTTTTGTTTTGTTTTGTTTTTTGGTGCTAGGGATCAAACCAGGGCCCTGTGCACGCCAAACACACACTGCCCCACCAGGAGTCCTGCCCCTCCTGCTTCTCACCAGGACTGGGAGACGGCGCTCTGGATCCCCGACCTCTCTCACCAGCATGCCCCACACAGACGACTGAGGGCCTCCAACAGGCAGGGGCAGTGGCATGTGCCTCTAATGCCATCAACTCGGGAGGCTGAGGCAGGAGGATCACCAGTTGGAGGCCAGCCTCAGCAACTTAGCAAGGCCCTAGGCAACTTAGCGAGACCCTGTCTCTAAATAAAATATAAAAAGGGCTGCGGTTGCGGCTCAGTGGTTAAGCGCCCCTGGGTTCCATCCCCAAGACCAAAAACAAATCAAAAGAAAAAAATCTTGGAGTCGTCCTGGCCTCCTCTTTCTTTACACCCCACATCCAGTTTGTCAGGCAATCGTATTAGCTTTACCCTCAAAATATATTCAGAATCTGGTGACTCTCCCATTGGGCTGGGGTGTGGCCCTAGGTCTGGTCCCACCACAAGAAAAACAAATGACCTGATTACTTCTCTCGGCTTCCCTGGCCTCCACCCTGCCTGGGAGATGCTTTCCCAGCCTCCTGGCCCAGCCTCCTGTCCGCAGGCTGCTCCCAACACAGCAGCAGGAGAGGGCCTTCAGGGTGCAAATCGCATGGGTGCCTCCTCTGTCAGCCCACTCAGGGCCTCTCCATTTTCACCAAGCATCAAGGCCACGTTTGGCCCTGGTGGCTGCCCACGTGGTCTGGTGACCTCTCAATCCCCGCCCTGTTCCTGGCATATACAGCTGCACCTGGGAGACTCTGTCGTGGCCCTTCCCTGGCTGGGTCTCTCTCCTCCAGATGCGCACTGTGCTGGGCCTTCAAGCCTTTGCTCACCTGTCCCCAGGCCCCCCCAGAATAGAAGCCCCCCGGCCGTTTGTCTGTCCTGTTCTCTGAAGTATCTCAAGCACCTTGGACAGTGCCCAGAGATCGCCTGAGAGGACGGAAGTGCAGACGATTGCCCTGTCCTCGCACCTGCGAGCTGTGTTTTCAAAATAAATAAAGACTGGCTAAGGGGAGCGGGACCCAGAGCGGCCTCTCACCATCCTTAGCGTAGGCCACACAGTACACGGAGTCCTTGTGTCCCTTGAGGGGCTGAACCAAGGTGCCATCTGAGGTGTCATAAACCTGGGGAAAGACACAGAAGTACACATTACCCAGGGGGCACCTAGTGTTCAGAATTCTTGCAGGACTGCTCCTGAGACTTTAGCTTTTGTAGTGAAACATCTGTCAATGTGCTGCATGTGCATCAGATAAATCCACACCAGGAAGAACGTGGCCTAGCCACGAGTGACCACAAGTGCAGGTCCTGGGGCTGTGCTCTATGTGACCAGGGACACACGTGGACCATGGAAATCTCCACAAAGTTCCCTCCTTCTTTCATAAATCTGGATACATTAAGGCAGCCCCTCTAAATACAGCCAACACGTAAAACCAGCCCGCTCACGACAAAGTCAAATTTTAGTGCTAGCCCTGGCCCCTAATGTTAGCATCAGAGAGAGATGTTTCCTGTTGCTTTCTGAGAGTTTAAAAGTCATAGACCTGAGCTGGGCGCGGTGGCGCACACCTGTCATCTCAGTGGCTCAGGAGGCTGAGGCAGGAAGATCGAAAGTTGGAGGCCAGCCTCAGCAAAAGCAAGGCACTAAGCAACTCAGTGAGCCCCTGTCTCTAAATAAAATACAAAACAGGGCTGGGGAGAGGGCTCAGCGGTTGAGTGCCCCTGAGTTCAATCCCTAGTACCCCCCCCCAAAAAAAAAAAAAAAACATAGAACTGAATCATGGCTTTTCAAGTCAGAGGGGGTGTTACAAAGCCCATCTGGAATATGGATTCAGGGTACTTTACGGCCTGTGGGATGCAGAGATGTAAAAACCACACCGTCTGGAAATCAGAGCAACACGGTCCAAAATGGTCAGAGGATGGGGAAGATAATCTAGGAGAAGGCTCTGGGTTGTTTACGCTGGAGAAGGGCCGTCTGTGGAACAATTCACCCAGGGCTTAAAGATCCTGCAGTTTCTAAGCAGAGAAGGGACATCAATCAGTCTGCAGATCTGCAGACAACAGAGGACAGGAAGTGGGCTTACGTAGCAGGAAGGGAGATCACAAAGGTTTTTTAGGTCAAACAGAACGACTTCTCTGAAGATTCCATTTATACACTGGGACAGGTTCCAGGGGGAGCTGATGTCCTTTGAAAATAGGAAAAAGATAGGAAAGAGCCATATGGAATTGTTTAGGTGGGCCGCTGCCGAAAAGTTGGGGCAGGCTTTGTGGTCCCTTGGAGAGAGAGAGGAGCTTCAGAATTGCTGCTTGAATTTTTTTCAAGGGGACAAATATGAACGGACACCCGCCCAGTTTCAAAAGCATTTTGATTCATTGTCCTCGCCTCTTTTCAAAGCAAAGGGGGAAGATGAATGGTCCCCAGGAGGCCCTGTTCACAGGTTCCTATCTGATGCACAGTTTACTTACCTGTTTTAAATAGCCCATTTCCTTCCCTATGGAAAAATAATGGCTGGTTTCTCTGCCCTGGCCTTTTTTTATCTCAAAAAAAAAAAAAAATAGAGGGGAGGGTCCAATTCCACAGTGCTTCTAAGAGGGTGGGGAGAGCACTTAAAAAGGAAACTCAGACCAAATCCTACCAGTAATCTGTTTCCTGCAGCCAGAATCAGTTGCGTTCCATCGGGCTTAAATGCAAGGTCATAGACACTGAATCAGAGACAAGACAAAAAGACAATTAGCAACCCAAATAATGGCCAGGAAAGCCGACTTGGTTTCCATTATGAAAACACCGCTGTGTGGAGCAGGGAGAAAAATAATGGCTAAGGATGGCGTTGGGTTGTAAATTCCATTCAACCACCACGCCCTGGCAGGCCACTCCATCACAGTCCCCCCGGCTGGCCGTCCTCTGGGACAGACGTGACTCAGAGTCAACTGTAAAGGGCACCGACTCTTCCAACACTGTGGCCACTGTCAAGGCTGCACACCTGGGAGAAGGTGTGGAGGCTGGTCAGTGAGTCCACACTGGTATTTACTGGGTGCCTCTTCACCAAGAACTATTCATCCACTCTAATACACACACACACACACACACACACACACACACACATTTTAATATACCAGGGATTGAACCCAGGAGGGCTCAACCACTGAGCCACATCACCCAGCCCTTCCTATTTTTGAGACACGATCTTGCTAAATTGCTAAGGGCCTCGCTTAGTTGCTGGGCTGGCCTCGAACTTGAGATCCTCCTGCCTCAGCCTCCCAAATTGCAGCGATTACAAGCGTGCGCCCCTGTAGCTGACTCAGACATATGTTTTTTTCATATTTTAGCCTCTCTGAGTTTGGAATTTGTCTGAGAATTAATGATACATCACTTCAACTGATAGCATTTCTTTTTTTTTTTTTGCTTTCTTATTGATACACAAAATAACGGTGTTTTAAAATCAAGGACCTCTTTGCCAGTTGTGGTAGTGCACACCTGTAATCCCAGGAACTCGGGAGGCTGAGGCAGGAGGATCACAATTTAAAAGCCAGCCTCAGTAACATAGTGAGGCCCTCAGCGACTCAGAGAGGCCCTGTTTCTGAATAAAAAATAAAAAGGGCTGGGATGGGGCTCAGTGGTTAAATGTCCTTGAGGTCAATCCCTGATATAGAAATAAATAAATAAATAAAGATCCGAAGGAGAAAGACGGAGCGGGAGTGTTCTGATTTGGGGACAGGATTGAAGGGGCTTCATGAAGAACGTAGTCTTTGAATAAGGCAGGACTTGGTGACAGGCACACAAGGCACAGCTCTCGGGCAAAGAGGACAGACCAAGCAGAGACCTGCATGTGGGGACACAAGAATATAAATAATTGAATTTGAGAAAGCCATTGGCTACCTACCAGGCCAGGAGAGAGAGGAGGCTAAAACCAGGCCAGAGCCCTGTTCAAAGGTTCTGGAAGGGCCCAGGCAGAGGGCCTCCTTGTTCAGATGACAAGAAACGGCACAGTCGGAACTTACTGCAAAAGCTCTGTGTGGTCAACTGCCTGGCGCTTGTCAGAAATCTAAAAATCCACACCCTCCGTGATCCACAGATTCTATCAACCAGGGGTTGAAAGGATTCAAAAAATGAAACTTCAGCGAACACAGATTTTTTTTTTCTCATGACTATTCCCTAAATAGACTAGGACAACTGTTTCCATAACATTTATGTTATATTAGGTACTCAGTCATCCAGAGACATCTAAAGCACAATGTGGGTTCTATGCAAATCCAATACCATTTTATACAAGGGACTAGAGCAGTCATAGATTTCGGTATCTGACAGGTGTCCTGGAACAAATCGCCCATAGATAGGGAGGGACGACTGGATTCGGTTTTGTGGATGATGACACCACAGTTCAGAGAGGTCAAGTACTTTACCCCATGTCACACAGCCAGCAAGTAAAAGGCCCAGAATACAGCTTGGGTCTGCCTCTAAAACCTGTGTTTTTAACCACTGTGCTATAATGCCATCGACTCTCTTCAACTGTCACCGAGTATTGCAAATCTGTCACCCTAATGCTGTAATAAGAAGAGCGGCTAACATTTGTTAAGCTCGTGTACTGCTACGTGCACCAGGTATAGCTTGCTTAACTTCACAACAATCTATTTTGCAGATGAGGAAACTGAGGCATAAAGAATGAACTTAAATAACCTGCCTGAAAATAAAATGCTACCAAGTGGAGGCGGAGCCAGGAATCAAACTCAGGCAGTTAGCCCATGCCATAGTCGACAAAATAATTAGCAATGGCTTTCATGCCTTACCAAAATTAAAAAAGAAAAGTATCATCACCTACTCAAGGCATTATTTGTAGAATTGGGGAAGTTAAAGTTTTATCTGTCTCTTTATTTATTGGTACCCAGGGGCTCTATCACTGAGCTACATCCCCAGCCTTTAGATTTTTATCTTGAGACAGGGTCTTGCTAAGTTGCTGAGGCTGGCTTTGAACCTGAGATCCTCCTGCCTCAGCCTCCCCGGTCGCTGGGACTGCAAGCATGCACCATGGCACCTGGCATTCACCTGCATGATGCTTTGATCTAGGTATACATTATAGAAAGCTGATTGACATATCCATTCCCTCAAGGAACAACTTATCACTATTTGCAATAAGAATATTAAAAATCTATTCTTTCAGCCATTTTGAAATATACATTAGTGTTGATATGCAGCGGAATAAGCCACTGAAACTTACTCTTCTAGTCTAACTGACACCTGGTGACCTTTATCAACATCTCCCCTTCCCTGTCCCTCGCTGTCCCCTCCTCTGGTTACCATGAGTCCACCTATTCAGATTCTACCATAAATGAGACCATACAGCGTAGGCTCCACTGAACCAGAAGCTTCCTTGACAGGAGGTGATGAGGGAAGTGAGCTCACATTATGTCACTTGATTCTTTTAACATAATGGAGTAAACAGGACAGGAGCTGGTTTATTTTTATAGATGAGGAAATGAAACTACAGGGAGACAACTTGTCGTGTGCTGTCACAGCTGAGGGAGAAGCTGTAGCAAAGTAACTGTCAGCTGGGCGTGGTGGCACACGCCTATAATCCCAGTGGCTCAGGAGGCTGAGGCAGGAGGATCGAAAGTTGGAGGCCAGCCTCAGCAATTTAGCAAGGCCCTGAGCAACTCAGCCAGACCCTGTCTCTAAGTAAAATGTAAAAAATGTCTGGGGATGTGCTCGGTGGTTAAGCACCCCAGGTTCAATCCCCAGTACCAAAAAGGAACTGCCACACCCTTTCAGCTGAGGATCCTCTGGGTAGGAGCAAACTCAGGCCCTGGGTCCCGTAGCTTGCTCCTTCTCTGGTCTGTGGCTAACAGACCTGGGCCTCCCTTGTTTGTCACACTTTCTCTGAGTCCAGGAGAAATGTTCCTGGCGCACTTCACATTCTGAGCTGCAGGACAGTAGATTAAAAAGCAGAGCAAGCAGAGGTGGGGTCAGAAAAGGGGACGTCCTCCACACTGATTCTTCTCTGCCTCAGACACATGTCACCTGAGCTCATCAGAATGATCCCTGGGTGGCCTCTTCCTTGTAAGGCATTTGGGGTTGAATCACCAAATCATCTCGGGGTCTCTCTTGGGCTAACCTTGAACTATCATCCTCACAGTGTGAAAAAAATCCACATTGCTGAAATCTCTTGAAATCCGCCTTCCTAAAGCATCATACAGAAGACGGATGGGCCCCCGCCTAAACTCTTACTGTACGTATAATCTGTCCAATTCAGCCTGGCTCCGAGTTACAGTCTTCTTTATCTTCGGGGTTTCGGATATGATCCTGTCTAATTACATGCCATCTGAGGTAACCATCATGTTTCAGAGTGTTCATTTGTGGATCCAAAGTATGTGGCATTGTCCTAGAAACATCAGGAACGTTTCTGACCAACTGACAAAATTTTATCTTGAATCCCTTAATGACATCATGAGATCACAGAAACCCGGAACTGGAAGGGATTTTGTGGTGGTGTCTACCGCCCCCTCCAGGACAAGAACTCCCTCCAAGTGGCCATTCTGCCTCAAATGTGGTCGCCCACTGCCATCTGCTCTCCTGTGGGATGGCTCTCCCCCCGTGTCCCCTTTTATGAACAAGGGAGATCTCATCAGATTGCCCTGCAGAGAGACACAGGGCAAGTCCTGAGGGCTGTCCTCTGCCAGCCCTGCCCCAGCCCTCTGCAAAATTGAAGTCCCAAGAGGCCGCTCCAAACAATATGCAATCCAGCCCAGCCCCCTCTGATTTGCTTAGAAATCTGGGGCAAAGGATGTGGCTGTATTAAATCTCATTTGCAAATGGGATAACGATTCACAGGTGGCTGTTCAGATGAACCAAGATGATGGAGGTGAACACGGCTGGCCAACCAGAGCTCAGTAAACACGGCCAGGGGACACCAGATTGGGGTGCGCTGGCCTAACACAGCACCAAGGTTGAGCTGAACCCGGAGCAGCTCATTGAAGGGAGAGAACAAGCAACTTCATCGGGCATTTGGGAAGGAGCTTTGGGGAGGAAAACAGAGTCTGGCTGACCTCCCAAGCTGACATTAAATGTTGAGGAGGCTTGGGAAGAAGAGGGTGGGAAGGACCACCTAGCTAACAGGAGTCACACTGGGTTTATGAGATGAAGAACAACAGACAGAGTTCTAACTACTACGTGAAGGGTGGGCTAGGAGCCAAAGGAAATCGGGAGACAGTGTCTGCTTCAGCTACGGACGGCTGATCTTTGACATCTGAGATTTTTAAATTTGATCATCTATTACTTTTTTCCAGTCGCCCCCTGACCCACCCACCCTGGCTATCAGCTGGCCTATCTGGCTGCCAACACTGGTTGACAATCACTAGACCTACTATTGATTTATTTTTTCATTCATTCTTGTATATATTTGGTTCAGGAGCACTTTACGACTGAGCTCCGGCCCTTTTTATTTTTTTACTTTTTAATTTTGAGACAGGGTCTCTGTGAGTTGCTGAGGCTGGCCTTGAACTTGGGATCCTCCTGCCTCCCCTGTTGCTGATCTGCTGTTCGAATAAATCGTTTCCAAGCAGTGATGGGCCGAGAAGCAGCCAGCCAATCCTCATTCACTCCCTGGTTCCTTCAATCACGAAATATGGATCCACCAAACTGCCACCACCAACGACCTGTCGAGGCTCTGATATCACGTGGAAGTAAATGAAGCCATAGCCCTTGCTTTCAAAGGGTTTATGGGCTTCTGGGATAAATAGATTTAAAAAAAAAAAATTTACTCTTGCGCTTGACAGACTCTAAGTACCACAGAGATGAAGGGAGACAATTCTGTGCCAGGGGATGAAAATAGAGCAGATCAGGCTGCATTTGGCCAGCAAATGTTTAGTTTGGCCCACATGGTGTTTTACTTTGTATTTTTCTTTTAGATGCCAACATTGAAAAATTAGGGCATTGCACATTAAAAAAACCCAGATTCCTAGCTTCTGGTAAAAACAGGAAGATCTGAGCACCCAAGGCCAAGTTCCTGCAGGGTGGTGATTGGCAGGAGCACAGCCGCCCCTTCCCAGTGGAGCTTGAGCAATTCAGGTGGCCACAGTCTGTGTCACCACGGATTATTCTGTGACACGGAAGCCAAATGTTCAGTTGCCAGTTATCACCAGCTTGTGCCATGGGTACTTCTATGATAGAGGGAGAAAGAAAAAAGAATTTGACTTTTTACTCAATTTCCATTAAAAGTTAAAAAAAAAAAACCTTAATGCTGAGGATGTACCTCGGTACGCATGCTTATCAGCTATGCACGAAGCCCTGAGTTCAGTCCTCAGCGCTGCAAAAAAAATATAAAGCTTAAGGCCAGGCTTGGAAGTACACGTCTGTCATCTCAAGCTATTTGGGAGGTTGAGGGAGGATGATTGTAAGTTCAAGACTAGTCCAGGCAATTTAGTGAGACCCTATCCCACAC